GACAGTGTATGCGCGGACTGTGACTGACGTTTGATTGGTACTGATTATTTTCGCACATGTGACTGATTTTTCAGATCAGTTCTTCAACTTTGTAGTTTTAGTGTAGAGATCTTTGATAAAGGTATTGAAAGAAGCAGTGTCATTTCTGGAAAAAAAATACAAGTCAAAACGTAGAAACGAATGGGAAAAAAGTTTCTAGGTCGGACTGATATTCATAGGGCTGAGACTGGACTGGGATTGATAGCAGACTGGCTCATCTCTGAACCCGTTAGACTATTCATCTCGTTTTGTGGAATAACGATAATAATACAAGTGAAGGGTGGATAATCGTTCAGTTTTCAAATACTTCATTGATATTTCTTTTATAGATGTGTACTTCACAAATTCCCACGAAACAAAGAGCTCTTGTTTGGGAGAATGTCGGTGATAAACCATTTGAATTCTCTACTAATGCACCTGTTAAACAACCAAACGAATTAAAAAATAATCAAGCTTTAGTTCAAGTTTTTGCATCTGGTCTAAATCCACTTGATAGTAAATTAGGTAGCAGTAATTGGGCACACGTTGAACTTCCTGGTGTACCCGGAATCGACATATCTGGTAAAATTGTTGCCGTCGCTAATGATGTAACAGATTTTAAAATTGGTGATGAAATATTTGGTTCTAATACAGTGAAATTATGTGGTGCTTTTCAAGAATACGCGGTAATAAATACGGATTATTTTATTAAAAAACCTCAAGGCGTCACTCATGAACAGGGTGCTGCGCTAGGTAGGTAAGAAAATCTTTTCCATTAAAATGTGAAGTTTTAATTTATTTACAATTTTCAAAGGTCTGTCATATCTCTGTGCTTTCGATGGCCTTCATCATGTACAAGATAAATTGAAAGCTGGTGCAACAATTTTTGTGCCTGGGTAAGTTTTCAGAATACGAAAAAAAGGAATTTCTATGTCACCTGTTCGTCAAGAAATTCTAACCAATTAGATCGTTGAAGATGAGATGCGCATAAAATTTAGTGTGAACTTGATTCGACTCAAACCGAAACTTTTTTTCTCAAAAAATTAACAGATTATAATAATAGGTTGAAAAAGATCCCGTTTTCCACTATTCAAGTAATATTTTATCGTAAAAACCCTGAAGTAATGCTATTTTAAGTAAATGTTGATGATTTTACGGTAAAAGTAAGGTGCCAATAATTCAAACTTACAGGAAAATTTTTGTTTTGAACTTATTATATACCATTCGATAGAGTTTTCCAAGCAGATCAAGAATATGTAGTTTTCAATTTTCAAGACTTTCTCTTCTTCGAAAAAGTTAGAGTTTTCGACTTGGGTTTTTAGTTGGAATGTTCAAACTATTTTTTTTCTTATTCAGCGTTAAAAGTTGAATTAAAAAATAATATTAAATCCATTTCGAAGATAAATCCCTGTTCACAATGGGCGTT